ACGAATTAGTTGGTGCAACTTCTAGTTACTGTATTCTTATGGGCAACACTGTTGACTGGAGTGATCCATTGCCAGAATGCAAAGGTAAGACTGAAAAAATCTAAGCCCTCAGGTTGTGGGGCTGAATAATCAATGATAAATTATTTTCTGCCCACTAAGAATTATCACAGTATATATTGGTAGTACCCTTACCTTCTAATGTGTGTCTTAGCTCATTTAAAGACATTTATTTGTAATGCTCCTTAATTTATTAGCTGTGGAGGTAAAGGATTAAAAACAAACTGAGGTTTGTATTGTGCTTGGTCATTTATTATCTTACTATTCCTTCTAACAGTCAGCTAAAATAGATATGGAAGTCCTTGGCCTAAGACCCAACCTTTCTCAAATAGGTGCCCTGTTCTTGCACTGTGAGGGGCCTCTGATGCACATAAACGGACAAATTGTCATGTCCACTAGGATCTTTATTCCTACTCTTTTGATCTTTGGGCTATAGGCATACACATCAGCAGTATACACCTTCCTCAAGAATATAGACCAAATACAGGCCGAAGGCAGCACATATACTAAAATTGGAATGATACAGAGAAGACTAGTATGGCCACTGTGCAAGGAAGACATGCAAATTTGTGAAGTGCTCCATAGTTTTAAAAGAATGTGGACCAGGAGAAAGGGCCCTCTCAGGCCTTGAAAGGGTGTTGGCACAGGAATCCTGGGTACCGGTTCCTGAAGCATGATTTGGAATGGGGTGGGAGAGGAGCTCTCACTGAGCACATCCCTTCCGCCCTGCAAATACTTGACCTAGTAGAGAGAGGTACAGCCAGAGGAAGCGAGAGCACAGCATTTTAAAGTGTGGGAGCTAGGACAGCAGCCCCACTTGCCTGAGTTCAAAGGTGATACTGATTACAACGACCTCCAGACTTTAGTTTTGCACTTCATGAATGTTTCAGCTACACTCTACCCGGAGTGACCCATTTGAAACACGAACATGACTTGTCTTTCCTTCTTAGAGCTTTTTAGTGTCTCCTCATCACTCACAAAGTTGAAACGCCATCATATAATGTACAAGGCTAGTCATGGTCGACCTGTTTCTCCACGCTCATGTCTGGCCTTCATGCTTTCTGCTCTGACCATGCAAACTGCTCTACTGTTCCGTTGACCTCATGCTTCTTCCTGCCCCCATGTCATTCCTTACACTATTGCCTCGGCCTGAAATGCCCTGCAGTTCCATCTTTGCTTGTTGGTTGGGTTTTTTTTTTCCTTATTCGAGGTCTGCTCTGACAGTCATTTTAAAAGCTTTCTGACCTTCCAGTCTGGTTAACTGTCCTCTCTTTCCACATCACTGTGCATGCTGCTGTGATAACCCTTACTATTTTCTACTGAAATTACCTCTTTGAATTTCTTTCCCCATTTTATTTGAAGACACAGGAATAATATCTTATTCAGTTTTGCATTCATATTGATAGAACGATGCCTGGTATGTATTATTAGGTGCTCAGAAAATGTTTGAACTGAGCTGACGGGGATAT